AATAAGCACAGTAGGGGTTCACTGCAGGAAAACATTTAGTAATGGCTGTTTTCAATTGTTTTTAAAATTTTATTGAAATGTTACCAATCCATGGTAGTTTTAGGTAAACAGGGCACTTGTTAGGACCAAATTGTGGATCAGTTAAGTAGCTCGCAATTTTCCTTGAAGTAATTTGATTGATGACATTTTCTGGATACCCATTTTCTAGTAAAATAGTTTTAATTGTCTTCAATTCGAAATCTAGTTTAGATTTTGAACAGGTAACTAGAGACCGATGGACTAAATTAGCAATAAGGTTCATTTCCTGATTGGCTAAAGGACATGCCAATCAGTGATTGCCTTACCAGCCTATGTTGATCTGACTCATTTTATAAGCTGCACTAATTCCTATAGATCATTTTCCAGATGGTTCTGATCTGATTAGTGTCTAGTGAAAAGCTTCAGCAGATATTTCTTTTGCAACATCTCAACCAACAATTGGTCCAGTTATCATCGCTATTTTCAATTTTGAACAACTCGACTTTTGAAGATTTACATATCTACATGTGCCGATGTTTCTTTTTATCAACATTATATTTTAAGATCTGTGCAAGAACTCAGCTAACAGATGTTTCCGTATATCAAAGTTATTTTTATCGCTTAAAAATGAGACCTTTTTTGTTATCCATTTTGCCATGTTGTATGTGAAACACTTAGTAATTAGATACAATAGGTCTAAAACTGTCCCCAGTCTTATTTAGGTAATATATAGTTCTTGAGATGTTAGCTTATAAAGTTTTGAACATTTTCTTTTACCATTGTAAGGAGTTTATTAGTTGGATTAATTTTTATGTTTTTTTATGGACCTTCTTTCAGTAATCCTTCAATTTTTAAATCAATCTTTTCTATTAATAAGTACAGTTTGACCCTCTTTATCAGCTTTACATGTGACTTCATCTTGATCTTTTATACTCTTTTAAAAGCTCAATATATTTTTTGATATTACGATTTAAAATTCATAACTATATTACAACATTCACTTTTTATAATATGAGCTTTATTAGCATATTTTTTTTTTTATTAGTTTCAATTTCTATTGTGATTTCTTTATAAAAATGTTTTGAAGCACATGAAGAATTTTTAACTTCTAGTTAAAATATCTAGTTGCTTATTATTTAGGAATAAATTTGATTTATTTATAACTAAGGTTTTTTAAAACTTATTATACCTCTCTGGTAATGAATCAAGTTTGTACTGTTTTTGATCCTCCTCTTTTTTCTTTTCCAATAAAAGTTTACATTTTTTTGTCTAATGTAATCTTACATCTGTCAGTATTTTTCTGTGTTCTTATCCATGAATTTCTTTTTCATTCTGTCTAATCTTCCTTCTTTTCTTTCTATAAAATTAGATGCAGTTGATACATTCCTTTTCTTTCTAGGCTATGAAACATCCTTTTTGTTGAATTGTGATATTCAGTATCTTCTCTGTAATTTTCTTTAGTTGATATACCACTTTCTTATTTTTGACATTGCAGTTCACTTTTATGAATCTCTGTATTATCCTGTTTCTTGTGCATTTCATTAAAAATGCCAATTGTGGTAAGCATTTTTTCAACGTGAGTCTTTGTTACAAAATATTTTGCCACATATCTTACCTAGATTCATATTAAGATTAGGATAACACTTCAGTAAAATGAGACTGTCCCCAGTCTTGAAATACAATAAAAAAATTTAATTGGGGACAGTCTCATTTTAAATATTTCTTGTGTACTATTAAATGTTGGCTTTATTTCTTTAGTAGTTGCTGTACTGTTAGTTATTTGCTTGTACTTGGTGTATGTAGATATCCGATCCTTTAACCTAAAAGTGATGAACATAAAACTCTTCATTATAAATCTGAATTCATTGTATTTTAAATTTTGTCACTTTTAAGATAAGAATAAATAACTTCTTTGATAGTAAAGATGTTATATAGAATAATTGTAAACATGTAGCAGCTACCAACTACGATTTACGTAATAGCATTATTAAGTTTAAATTACAAGAGATACTTAATACATCTAAGATGATTTTAGTATCATATGGTTACAGTAAAATTAAAATGACATTTTCATTTGAATTACCTTAACTCAGTTAAGTAGTTAACAATGTAAAATTAATCAGTCTAAAAAGAGGTTAGCAGGACCAAGGATGAAATACCATAAATACCCACGTATAGTGTGCAGTATATGTTTTGGCTTCACATACTAGGAAAAATCAACATGTCCATGTATAGTGCACAAAAAAATCTAACAGCTGATTGACCTTTGTGTAGTGAGTGGAGTATTGTTATGTTGATTAGTAATTGTATGTGTAAGTGAATGCCATTTACAACTAAATAACCATATTACGTAATGAACAAACAAACACTGAACTTATGCTCACTTGTAATTTGTGTATACATTGTTTGAAGGGTTATAATATAAGGAGATTCTAAATTACCTACATACTTTGTGGAGCACATTAACAAAAATATTGTTAGAAGGAACATATTGAAGCAGTGCTATAAACAATTTTAAAAATGGAAAACAAGTATTGAAGTGATAGAAATTGGATTTTAGAAATTAAAAGGACACAGAAAAGTAATAAAAATAAATTCAAAAAAAAGATAAAATAGTAATTTAATAATAATGATCAGGGAAATATGTGTATATGGTGTCAAGTTAACAGGAGTGGCAAAGAGATATCAACGGAAGCTGTAATTTAGTTTCAATATAAGTTTATGTTCTAGGCTTTCGCAATCATACTTGTTGTGGGGGGCATGTAATAAGTACACTTGTTGTCGATTCCATTGTGATCTGGGGAGCTGAAGTGTTGGGGAACTGGGTGGTTGTGGGTGCTGTTGAATACAAGTCTGAGATGTTCATGGAATCTGTCACCTAATCTGTGTATAGTTTCCCCAATGTAGAGTTGTTTACATCTAGTACAGCAAATACAGTAAATAATGCACTCTGATGTACAGGTGAATTGGCCTTTTACATGAAACGTAAAGATAGAACTGGAGAGAGTCAATAAGTTGGTGATATAATTGCATCTAAGGCAAATAATTCTTCCACACAGATGACTTCCTTTAGTTTGTGCAAGTAAAGACAATTCAGTCTGTAATTTGGAATGTACTAGGCAGTCTTTTGAATTCCTCTCACATTTGAAAGAAATTAGGGGTAGGGTGGTAAAAATGTCAGGAGATTTGTTATCTCTTATTAGTAGGTAAAATTGCATTGGACAATTCTGCTAATCTGTTTGCTTAAAGGATGATATGCAAGGACTAAAGGAACTCTGTCACTATGTGGTTTGTCCTTAGAGTGGAGACAGTCAGCTTGTGATAAACAGAATGTGGCAAGTTTAGCCTTTTCAATGGTGTTGTCGGGATAGTTCTGATACCTAAGATAACGAATGGTCATTTGCTTTACACCTGAAGTCAACGTTGTCAGAGTACAGACATCTCAAACTTAGGAATTGTCCCTTAGGAATAGTGTGTTTGTGTTCAGAAGAAAGAATTAATGTGTAAATAGGAATGGCTGTCAGTGGGTTTGTAATGTACGCTGATGGTAAATGTAGATGTAGAAATCTCGAAGTTAGCTTTATGACTAGAAACTGGAATTTATGACGAGTGTACTCGTTTTATTACATGTCCCCCACAACAAGTATGATCGTGAAAGCCTAGAACATAAACTTTATTTAAACTAAATTCTCTTGCACCATACGGAATTAATGAACGTTTTTCTTTTAAGTGATTACAACTGCCGTTAATATCTCTTTTGCCACCCCCTGTTAACTTGACACCGTCTACACATATTTCCCTGATTATTATTATTAAATTACTATTTTATCTTTTTTCAAATTTATGTTTATTATTTTTCTGTGTCCTTTTAGTTTCTGAAATCCAATTTCTATCACTTTAATGCTTGTTTTTCATTTTTAAATGTTCCTTCAACAGTAGTTTTGTTAATGTGCTCCACGCAGTACATACATAATTTAGAATCTCCTTATATTATAACCCTTCAATGAATCTGTCTAAGCCTTTTTTCTATGTAACACAGTTTAAACTGCCTGACAAAGGGCTTTTGCTCGAAACATTGCAAATAAATATAAAGTTTTTGTCATAGACATGTGTTTTACCAATGGTGAACACTTTTTCATTTCATTATTTTTCCACATCTTCCGGTCTTTCCTACTGTGTGTTTTTTAAATAATGCCATGTATAAAGCATAGGAGAGTGACTACGATTGAACGTTACTTTGAATGTATTGTAGCACATGATAATGAAATCATTTTACAACCCTAATGCAAAATGCTCTGAAAAATTGAAAGAGTTTGCTCAATTATATTTTGTCTGATCATTTTTAGCAAATACCAGCATATAAACTGTGCAATTTTTATGATTGACAAAATAAACCCATTATACATGTATGAAGCCTAAAAGATAAATATCAGGAGTTCAGACTTTTGTTTATTTCTCTTCATTGTGGTTCTTTTCTTTTTGTTTCTTCTGGTGATCCGACGGCAAAAAATGATGATTATGCCAGAATATAAAATGTGTTCAGGCAACACTCAGACTGAAAGTTTCACTTAAAATGGTGGAAGAATATTGTTGTCTCGTATAATGCTCACTTCATGTTTGAGCCCAAAAATTTTGGAAAAAAGTGTACACTATACGTGGGTATTTATGGTGTTTATACAGCAGCCTTTCATATAGTTTAATTTTTGCTTCAATTATCAAACTCTTTCTACTGAAGAAAGTGTATAAAATAAACTTAAGTTATTTATTAAAGATGAAGATTTTCTCTATATCTTTTTACTAAGACTTATTTAAACTTTTGTATTAAAATGATTACTAATTGAACTTTTTTAAAATAAAAATGATGAAACATTATGTTTTAGTACATTGTACAGATAGTGGAGACAAATATATAAAGAAGACTAAAAGCATTGTAAATATAAAATGCTTTTATTCAATATTAATGTAAAGTTTATACTATGTAGATTATTGAAAGGCTTGGAGAAGATTACATTGTACAACATCTTCCTACGATGCATCAAGATAACTGGGGTTTGAGTAAAGGAGAAGCTCACACTGGATATATTCGAGAAGCTTCTGATCCAAAGACTCCTCACAATATGCACCTTTACTGCATGAAGAGAAAAAAGGCCAAGTTTTGTGATGACATATGGCTAGGCATCTGCTGCAAAGGCATTGAACTCTATGAGGTATTTGCACATCTATTTTGCAAAACTGTAGTCACTTATTTGTTATTTAAAGTGCTTACTGATTTTAGATACTAAAATAGTTAATTTTGGTAAAAGTTTTGAAAATAGATGTTACTCTAAACCAACATTTACTGGGTTATATTTTTATTTTGGTAGTTTGCTACCATTTAAATTTTAAAAATAATTTAATTTATAATTTAATATATAGGGCTTATAATTATTTTTTTTCATTTCATGAAGAAGTGATAAATATAAAGGATTTCTTGCAGAAAAATAGTGTTCCGTACATTTGATTGATAATATTATTAAAAAATATATCTGTTATTACATTAATTTCTTACTGTGGTTTAGTATATTCCCTTCTTAGTATTTTTAGATTAAAGGAAAGAAAATTATAAATGTTATTTGAAAGAACAATAACAGTTAGATATGTTGTTGTTTTAGTTTGAATGTGGTTTAAAACAGTTTTGATCAGCATTATAATTGTGAAATGAAATAGACTTTGTTTGAATGATGCCATTCAGCAACAAGTTTATTAGTATTTGTCATATAGAATATCCAAAACCAAGCAACTCCTTTAAAATATAGCTCCCAAAACTGAATTCTATGTCACTTGGATAGGTGCAGCCTTCCCCAAGGACAAAATTGTTTCATTAAATTTAAAAAATTTAGAAAGTAAACTTAGTCATTCTTTCACACACATTACAAAAAAAAAAGAACTTCACAAGTTGAAATTTATTTATTTAAAAAAAAAGTTTAATTTATTAGATCTTATACATGAAAAAAAGGAATATCTTGATTTTGTGTTGATTTCAGTGTACTCCAAATGAAAACATTAGTGTTGATTAATTAACTGATTTTTTCTGAACAAGATACAATATTCATAGCCACCAGGAGGAAAGTCAAAGTAGATTCTAACAAAATAGTGATAATTTGAACTTTTAACTTGAATACAAATGTAGTTTTATTGATTTTAGCCAATCACTGTTTTTCAACCTTAGTTGTCATGGTGTGATTTAATTGAATATATACATTAACTTTGAGAAGTCATAGTTTAATGATCTAAACATGTAATGAAATCTCATTTTCTTTTATTTTCAATTGTATTAGTCAGTATGGCTTCCAATTCAATGGAGAGCTGCATAGAGATTGGAACTAAGTAATAAAATCTTAACTTGATTCCATGTTGCTTGAAAAAATATTTTTAACAACTTTTTCCACAATTGCAGTCCTATCTTTTTTTTAAACCTTGTGAAAAGCTTGCTTTATCATTTTATACTTTGTTTGAATAATGATGTTGCAGTAAGACAGGAAAAAATGTTTTTCATGGAATAAGATGGGGTAGGCTTAGTTAGAGCATTTGGCTCTTGACCATATAGTTTTGTTTCTCTGAGAAGGCTATTTTGTTTAGCCATATTTACATTAGGCCTTATTGGCCTAAATAACTTCTTAATGGACAAAGAAAACCAACAAAAATAAATGGGGGGGATCTATATATACACCTGGAAAAAAGTTAAGCACCCCCGTGTTTTTTTCAAGTGGTTCAGATTCGACGTTCTTGTGACTGATTATAAATTAACATTCAATCTAAAC